ACTCTGCTCAAAATCGTAACCGGTTTTGATTTTTTTTTATCCTGACTTTAAAAGTTTAGATTCTCCTAAATATACAAAATATGTATAGTAAAATTTAAATACATGCATGACTGTCGGCTACCTAGCCATATACCGTATTCTTGTTTGGAAGCAGTCACACCATGAATATCGCGTGTGAAACACACCCCAGTTACCAGGGTACGTGTAACCCCGTTCCACCCTCCCCCATTAAGATTAAGAACACAATCGAATATTGCGCTAGCGAGGCTCGCGTGTCCGTTAGACACTGCAACTCCATTTGTGGGAACAAGCAATTTTCTTGCTCAATAAGCCCTATGTCAATGACACCAAAATCCCCAAGTCTCGCCGGTTCTGACGGCGTGTATGGGCAGAGCCCAACTTCATCTCCCGTACTCGGCGCAACGTCGGACAGTGATTCCACAGTACCGAGGGATGTGTATCATAGGATCGATGAGCACAAACATCGCACACCGCGTACGCTTTCAGTGCCGAGTGGCCTCGTTGAGGATGTGATCGACCATTGTTCTAACTCTCCTTTTCCCGCATGGGATGACGGGGAAGGCGAGCTGCGCAGCGACGCGATACGAGCTCTGCTCGTGCCTTGCGGACCCCATGTCCGCTCCCTGAGTTCTCGTCAACTGAGGGACGTGGTGTGATCATCAATGACCCTGACGGGGAACGGTGGCGGCAGCTTAAAGCTGCCCATAAGGCGGCTCAAAAGCGCGCACATCCACAACCGGTCATTGACCCTCGTGTGGAGTCAGGTTTCTGCCCAGCGTCCCCTGCTGTGGAAGCAGGGGACGCGGTAACTCGATCGTTACGCGTCCACATCATCGGCCCCCGGCCAGAACGGATGATGAACTTTCCACACGAAAAGCTCTCCGAACTCGCTTCTTGGTCCTAATAGAATTTCCGTTAGACGTTTATCGCACTCGTCTACGTGCTCAACGAGGTGGTTCTCGTGTACCCAATGCGGAAGATACCTGTAGTGCTCGCTCCTAGCGAAAGCGCTACAAATAATGAAGCGCTCTTTAAGCGAACGGTGCAACGGCACCGGAAACTTTCTTCACTGCGTAACCTGCCGTTGTGTCACAAGGAAGTGGACGTGCGTATGGAGCGACACCTCCGCTTTGAGTTTGTCACACTCAAGGCACGCCGTCGACTTCCTTTGGATTGTCGCCCTGCGACGTGTAGGTTCACAACCTCTAATGCTCCCGCGAGCTCTGTATCTTCGGCCGCAAGAGTTCAGGGCCACTGATTGATCTCGGCTCATGACCCTTCGATTTCCCTGTCTATTGCCGGGAAGCGTGAAGCGTCTGATGACGCGGGATGTCCTTATCGCTCCGATCAAAAGCGTCCACGGCGACTGGGCAATCTTGCCGAAGTGGCGCCTCAAACTC